GGTTTGGGATTGGGCCAAACACACACACTTTTTTTGGCCCCCCCACTTCTAAAATGAATCCGGCGCGCCTGCTTGGATGGCCAGCACGCACGGATGTCCGGGCGAATGTGGGATATGAAGGCGGAGGAGGACCACCGTCCGAGTTGGCAGGGAGGAGGGAGATATGCCTTGAATGGCTGCACCTGTCTGAACGAAAGCCCTGATATGCTATTAGACGCCAACACCAGTTATATGCATATTTACCATAGGTAAACTGAAGAGATCTTGATTGGCGGCACGAGCCGATGTCCGGTGAAGAGGGAGATGTAGACGATATAATGCCCGAGAGCTGTTAGCTTGAGTACGGTGATGCATGAATATCGTAACCTGGTTTACCACGAGCCAAGTGAGCATGAACCCGAGAATATGAAATGAAGTGCCGGATGCACGCAGAAAAAGACGTACACTTGGTTAAATACTGAGACATGACCCATGATATAGTATATCTTAATTAGCGTTAAGTGTGCCGGGATGAGTCATAGATGCTGATGAGCTGATTGAGTGATTAAGACTGTCTTCTATCATCTGAAGTGAGGATGATGGAGGGACGCTAGTGTTAGATCCAGCAAGTGTGATAATAAATGTGTAGAAATAGTGGAAATCTGAATGATCTCATGCAGATATCCCCCCCAAAACGGAGGATGTGCAGTACACGTCCTTAAGTCGGGGAAAACACGGTCGTCGTGAGGCCGGCGGATGCCACGTCCAGGAAACGGGAGATGATGCGTGCCGAAGAATCCGCATGCAAAGTACGGTTGCCCGGTGAGGAAGAGCAACTGTCGTTGAAGACGTTTATGTGGATGCACGCAGTTGGTTAGAGGAACGATAATACCATGAGCTTGATGTGATGGCTAGGAACTCCGGTGTGAGACTGGGCCTGTAGTTCCTCATGATTAGGAACGCTGTGCTCCTGGAGGAGTCTCTTCTGTTTCTTCTTCTCTTTTCCCAGTTGAGCGGAGTTGTAGTTTAGTAATGTTGTATTTGAACGCTAGATGCGTGAAGGCAACGCATTAGGAGATCTCCCTGAGCAGTGGGTGATTTGAACTGGGGAGAGACGCTATTAATATTATTACCTGAATAGCCGGTGCACGCGTAGTTTCTCCTACTTGACTTAAGGCTGAAAGAGTTCCGCTGAACGATGATGGGAACATTAAAGCGCGTCGTAATATCTGCTTTGAAGAGCCAGCCTTGGCCTGCACGCTATTAGATTACATTATCTCCGTGCGTAGAAAGGGGGGAACATTGACCTTGTCATCGAGATTGCCTTGAGCATTTACCGAATTGTATTAAGTAATCTGTCGACAGGCTGTAAACAGAAAAGCTGAAATTGAAACTAATAAATACTCAGTTACCTCTAATCATTAACCGAGTTTGTATAATGTAGTTACTCCGTGTGTTGCTGCTAGCATACATAACATCTGACGTGGGAACGTTACTCGTGAATGGAGCTACGGAGCTGCTAGAAAGACAGTGGAACCCGGTGCATTCCTCCGTCTGGATGTGGAGCACTTTTGCTAAATGTTTAGACAAAGTGCTCGTGTTACGCCCTTACATGATAAACTCTTATTGCACTTTGGCAACGAGCATTCTCCACGTCGAAGCGGGTGAAGTTAACCACGCCTCGGAGCGCGTTCTCTCCGCCACCTCCGCAGTGTGCTCCGCTGCATGTAGCAGCTGTGTGTGTAAACTGCCCCGTCCCCTCGCGATGGGGGAGAGAGATCTCATCTGATCGAAAATACATCATAGGCGCATTTGTTTGTCCTTTGCATATTAGAACGAGTTGTGACACTAGACTGCGATATAATGTTTTTTTTTTTTTTTTTTGTAGCAATAAACATGACATATATTTATAAATGTCTCCGGTACTGATAAAAAGACCAATAACTTTGGAGCTTACGCACGTAAACACACTGCTGACGTCACAATGAATCGACGACTGAATTAGTTGCAACTAATTTGGTAATCGATTTGATCGATTAGTCGATTAGTTGTTGCACCCTTAGTCGCTGCAACTCTGACTACTTTTACATCCAGGCTGAAGACTTTTCTTTTGTCGCTGCTTTAATTGAACTATTCATATCTTAGACTGCACTGTACTTTGATCCATGTACTTTTTCTTTTAATGTTTATTTTATTAGCTTCCTTTTAAGTGACTGATTTTAAATGCCATTTCTTAATGTCTTTCATTTTTTAAAGCAATTTGAATTGCCTTGTATTGAAAGTGCTATATAAATAAACTTGCCTTGCTGCCAAGGAGATGTTGTTGTCGCAGATCTAGCCGTTGGTGCACCAAGAAACGGAATATTCTTAGTGGAGAAGAAAAAGAGAAAACCGATCATTTAGTCAATAATCATTAAATTAATATTGGGAGTGAATTCCTAATTTATTTAGTATCTGGTCATAAACAGGATAATGTGCAGCGACTTGTTCATTGAGGAAAAGAAGCCCTACGAAACGCTATTCATTTCAGGAAACGCTGTGTTGAAGCTTGAACCTGCGTTTAGTTACTGAGCATTGTAATGAGTAATTACCCGACTGCATTAGTAATGCAAGTAATACGTTACTGAAACTCCATACTGTAGCACGTTACCCCCAACACTGCCTGAAGCTCACCTTAACCCTGACTAGAGGTAGCAATGCATAGTGTTGAACTTCCTGTCGGCTCCCAGACCGTAGTCGAGGGAAACGGGGGGGGGGGGGGGTGACTCTCTGTCCTCTCCCAGGGCAGATGCAACACGCTTCTGGTTCAATAACTCATTTTATCGGAAAGACTGGAGAGAGGCGAGCTCTTCTTGGGAGGTCGTTGTATTATTTAGCTCTCCTGTTTCGCAAGATAGATTTCGCAAGATCACAGACCTTCCTTTTTTCTGCTGCCTCGTTTATTTCTAGAAAACATGTATCCCGCTCGCTCATACCATGCCCATGCACACATGCACACACCACACCCCTCTCTTAAGGGTAGCGATCTCACTCTGCATGACCCAAATGTCGTAACAATATACGAAACATCTCGTGAATTTGTTGCAACTGCCTTTGCCAACGTTACCCTGACGCCTGTTGAAGTGAGCGCAGGAGGAATAGCTTCAATGGGATAGCTTAAGCCCTGCCTGCCTGCAGGAGGGGTTGTAGTTGAAGCCAGAATGGGTAAAACTCCGCATGTGATGAGGACCCGTTCCGCGTGAAGCCGGAAGCGCCGCATTAGGCGGCCCTGATGCCAGTGATGTCTTCTCAAGAGACTGAAGCGTACGTCAGTTGTTTGCGTGAAGTAGCCATTCCCATTAGGCCGGAGGAACTTCCATGTAGCCCGATTTCCTTGTCTTTTCCTCCCGCGTCCGGGCTTGCGGGACGGCCGGCTGACCCGCTACCCGACTGTAGAACGCCGCCTGTAGCTTAATCCGCGATACTGCGGAGCTGATGAATAAATGCCTGGAGCTGGAACGAAGCCCTCAGCTGGGACAAAGCCCTGCTGCTGCTTGGCTTAACCATGAACACCGTGACGCGTACACTTGTGCGTTGACACCTGAAATGACAACTGACAGAGAGGGAAGAGCAGATTTAAAGGGTTTAGCAGGTGCAATGATTGCTAGCTGGGGAGTACCGCCCCTGATTACTTAATGGGAGAAGAGCTTGCAGTGACGTGTAACACCAGGGGTTATGGTCTTCCTTCTTGAACTTGCGCTAAGCTTCATATCTTTTTTTATCAGGTACCTGGCAACTAGTGACTCGTACGCGACGATAGCCTTCAGCTATCGGGTCGGGCGTTCTACAGTGGCAGTCATTGTCAAGGGGGCCATCTGGACCGCCCTGGTCGAGGAGTGCATGCCGGTACCACAGGTGGAGGATTGGAGAGCCATCACTGCTGGGTTCCAGGAGCGCTGGGAGTTTCCCAACTGTGTTGGTGCCATAGATGGGAAGCACGTCGTTATCCAGGCTCCAGCAAATGCAGGTTCCCTCTACTTTAATTATAAGTCCACCCACTCCTTGGTACTGCTGGCTGTGGTGGATGCTGAGTACCTGTTCAGGGTAGTGGATGTTGGAGGCTTTGGGAGGAGCAGCGACAGTGGGAGCCTGCGGAATTCTGCATTTGGAGAGAGCCTCCGAGACGGCAGTCTGCAGCTACCACCTGACACCGTCATCGCAGGATCAGAGCGGCGGGGCCCTCTCCCCCATGTCTTCGTTGGAGATGAGGCATTTCCGCTGCTGGACAACCTTCTGCGTCCATTCCCTGGATGTCACCTCACCCGTGAAAGGAGGTTATTTAACTACCGCCTCAGCCGTGCCAGGTTGGTGGTTGAATGTGCGTTTGGCATCCTCTCAACCCAGTGGAGAATGCTCAGGCGTGTCATCACCACCAGCCCCGAGGTGACGGAGTTGTGTGTGAAGGCTGCCTGTGTGTTGCATAACTTCCTCCGCAGGAAGACCATTGATATGCCATCACGCACACCTATCGCAAGGTCCACGGATGAAGTTACTCCAACCCTGTGTGATGCACCGAGGATGGGCTCCAACAATGCCACACGGCGATCCATCCAACAGCGGGAGACCTTCTGCTCCTACTTCAACGAGGAGGGGGCAGTGCGATGGCAGGCAAATGTGGTGTAGGCCCATATTTGTCTCCAAACCAAAAAGCTCTTTTAAGAGCTACCCATTTTCTTTAAAAAGCAAATATTCCAAATGAGCCATTTTAAAATCAACCATTCCTAATAAACATGTTTCTTGAATTGATATCATGATATAACTAACAACCTTTTTCCTTCAGCCCTGTTTTTAGTGATAAACCACTCATAATTTTCATCAGGGTTTCACCTGAATAATTACAGAAGACAGCACATTATATATCGACATACAAGAAGCTCCTGGTATGTTGTAACTGACAAACCACATGAACAAGTCAAGACACAGTATAGCCATAACATACTTTTAAATAACTTTTATTTATGTGATGTTGTGTGTGATGAGTGATGAGTGTAAAAAGATGTAATGTGGATCAGTATCAGTATCAGTATCTAATTAATTAATTAATTATTAATGTCCATTTCTGTGGCCTCCAGGACCGCCTCTTGTAGCTTCATTTTCAGTCTCATGCTGCTCGTCCTGCTCAGCTTTTGCATTGCAGGCCAGAGACTCCTTAAAAAAAGGAGGTCCTCGTCTTCCACCTCCACCACTGGTGGTGGGGGTGGTGGTGGTGGTGGCATGGCCAGCATCGGGCCTACGGCCGACAGCAGGTTCTCCTCAAAAGGGGACATCTCCCTTCCCCTGCTCTTCTTCCCCCGGAATGCTGGCACACTGGCCGGCACACCGTCTGGCACACCGTCTGGCACACTGGCCGGCACACTGGCCGGCTGACTGGCCGGCTGACTGCTACCTGGCTCTGGCTGGCTTTCCAGACTGTCATCCAGGCTGTCACCCATAGAGTCTTCCTCTTCTTCTGCTCCGGTGGGTGGAGGCAGGGGTTGCCGGGGGAAATTGCTGGACGTCTCACGGTCCAGCATGAAGGGCTTTAAAAAGCTCATTACTGCCGCGAGACGCCAGGGCTTAGATCCCCCGGAAGCCCCTGCCCCGCTACTTTTCCCTTCCTTCTCCAGGATCCTCTCCCTGCGGTATCGGTCCCTGAGGGACTTCCAACGCTTTTTGCACACTTCGTCTAATAAAATGAAAATGAAAATGAAAGAATACAGTTAATTTCTTGAATTTCAGAAAATGATTGCTCCATTAATGAAAACCAAATCCCTTTCAATTGCATACAAGGTTTTACATGTCACACTTTATCAGAATCAAAACAGGTTTATTGCCAGGTAGCTTTGCACATACTAGGAATTTGACTTGATGTCATGGTGCATATATACAAAACAAGAAATCTAATATAAAACACAACATGTATTGTACAGTTAAATTGCAAAAAGATAAAAATTAAATAAAGCAGTAATTTACATGGAAATAGAATGCTAGGAATGCATTTTTGCATATATATATATATATATATATAACTAAGAAATGTGAAAGGAGTATGACTGTGTGCATTAATGTAATGCAATATAGTCTATGATGTGGCAGCGGATGATTAACATGTATGTGATTAATGTCTATGGCGCTATTTTATGCTAAATATACCAGCTATGTTTCATTAGCTATGTTAACATGAAGTAAACTGGATATAAAATCCCCAAACAGGTGAAAACCTACCAGTTTCCCCCACTGTCTCTGCCACCTCCTTCCATGCCTGGTTCCTCTGGTTTCTATCCCGGTAGGTGAACAGGGTCACATCAAATAATACAGGGTGATTCGCTACCGCTACGATTATAACCTCGTCCATTTTATTTCAAATATAGACATGAACGGCGGGATATCTCAGGATATCTCTCCCAGCGTATGCGCGGTTTTTGATTGGCTACGGCTTGAGCTGTCAGATTTTCTGAAACGGGATTTGATTGGCTTACGCTCACTTGTCAGGAACCGAGAGAGCGTTTCGTATGTAAAAAGTTCAACATTGTTCAACTTTTTACGCGCGAGACGCTCTCAAAGTTACGCTTGCCTTCCCGTGATGCAGTTCGGCGAAAACGTGAGCGGACGTGACGTCACCCCATTCAAAGTGAATGGGCAGACGCGCTAGAGGCGTAATTTTACGCCTGAAACGCTTGTAGTGTGGAGGGCCCGTCAGTGCCTCACCAGCCATGAACCTCACTGCAGAAACGTATATATAGACATCTACGTTTTTTGTGCCCCACCACTTTTGTACATATAGAAACGCCACTGCTTATTAGTATTGTTGGAGCCATATTAACAATGTAGCATCAGATGCTATGGTAGCAATGCCTATTTACTTATTACATTTCTGGATTGCTCCTGTTTGTATTAATGTTTTTAAATGTTTTTAGGTTGCATTTTTTGGAGATTTGTCTGTTATCCGTTGTCTGTTTTGAATGTGTCATAATGGATCCCTTGTCAAACCAAATCTACCTTTGGGTACAAATGAATAACCTGAACCTCATATTAGATTTGAGTTATGCTATTATGTATTATTTGTTATTCTGCTGTATGTAATTCCACTTTTGTACATATAAAAATGCCACTGCGAACACAGGAGGGAGCTTGGCTGTCTACAAATAAAGACGGCTCATTTTAATTCTCCCCAAATATATTGAGGCTGAACCTGAACTTTGAATTCTCTGCTCCCATCATAATCTTGGCGATCTTGTTAAAATTGTGAATGCAGAATTAAAAATACTATGTAACTGGTTTGCAGTTAATAAATTATCCCATAATGTGGCCAAAACAAATTACATTATTCAATACAAAGTCTGAGAGTAGAAATGACTGCATTATACAGATTTGCAATACAGAGATAGAAAAAGTTGGTGCATGTACATTTTTAGGACTGCTTGTTGACGAAAAACTCAATTGGAAGCACCATAATCAATTATGTACAGACTAAACTGTCAAAAACAATAGGTATTTTTATCATACTAAGAACATTCTTGAAGAAAAGATACTCTTTATAACAGTCTATTTCTCCCTTACCTTTACTACTGCTCCGAAATATGGGGAAACACGTACTCAACAAATCTACAAAAAATAATAACATCCCAAAAAAAAGTATTACGAATAGCCTGTGGTGTTGGTAAATATGAACACACAACTCCCATATTTAAAAAAACTCAATCTATTAAAATGTGTTGAGAGAGTACAGCTTAAAACAGTACTGATTATGCACAACATTTTCCATAAGAAAATGCCTAATAACATTCAAAAGCAGTTCCAAACCACAGCGTGAACATATGAATGTAAAAAACGTCACTTGAAAATAAGTGTTCACAATGTTTATATGCAATTATGCATATATCATTATTATTCATTTGCCAAGTACCTATGTATATATTTATATATAGTATTTTAATTTCCAAAAAAAGATAGTTTGAAACTGCTATTGACATGTGCAGAAAATGACCCTATATCTAGTTTTCGTATATATATATATATATTTTAGGGGTGTAACGGTACACGTACCCGTACCGAAATTATTCGGTACGGGCCCTTCGGTTCGGTACATGTGTGTACCGAAGTGTACCGAACGAATATAACGTTAAACGTAAAAAAATTGAGAACGTGAACAACTTTTTGGAAGTAATCTCAGGTGCTACGTCGCAGCATTCAGAGTCATTTGCTCACATTGGGTTCAACGCGTCATAGAGCGAGCAAGTCATTTCATTGGGCGAGAGGCATACTATGAGAGCTGGTTAGAGGGATGCGTTCATATGTAATCAGTAATTTGAGGAACTGTCGAAATGGCAGATAAAATTGAGCTTGAAAATCCTCCAGCATCATTGAAGTCTCCGGTTTGGGAACATTTTGGTTTCACAGTTACGTACAAGGATGACGGACAAAGACAGGTGGACCGAACCAAAGCTGTTTGTCGGCATTGTTCAACTAACATTGGTTACGCGGCTGGCAATACATCAAACTTGCACACTCATTTGAAAAGGCATCACCCGAACGTGAATATCACCGGTACCAAAAGACTGAAGTGCAAACCCAACTCCCGCTAGCATTTAAGCCTCCACCACTCGCAAAAAGTTCAGACCGAGCCAAAGCTATTACAAATGCCAAATATCCTTATGTTGCCATGTTAGCAAAGCGCTACCTGGCTGTATCTGCTACCTCTGTCCCTAGAGAGGCTGTTCTCCACAGCAGGAGACATTGTTAGTGCCAGCAGATCTGCCCTTTCGGCAAGCAATGTGGACAAGTTCATCTTTCTTTAGAACAACATGAAAATACAATGACAAGCAAGTCATAATGTCAAACTGGCTGCTTAGGTGCTAGTACAGTACAGTTCAAATACAGATTATTTCAGTTCATCGAAAAGCTGCACCTTAATGTTTATTTTATTATATTTTATATTTATTTGAGTGAATATTCATAGTTTAATAATAATTAAAAACCCAAAACTAATAGTTTATGTTTTGTGAGTACTAGTACAGTAAAGTTCAAATACAGATTATTTCAGTTCATCGAAATGCTGCACCTTAATGTTATTTTATTATATTTTGTATTTATTTGAGTGAATACATTATTCACAGTTTAATAATAATTGAAAAAAAAAAAGTTATGTTTTGTGATAATTTTTTCTGCTGTACCAAAAACATACCGAACCGAACCGTGACCTAAAAACCGAGGTACGTACCGAACCGAAATGTTTGTGAACCGTTACACCCCTAATATGTATATATATATAAAATATATATGCATTTATTGTTTTCCTGCCCTAACTTTTATTTAATTTTTTCTCCTGTTTTTTTCATTTCTATACATTTTTGACGGAATAATGCCGCTGTATTAGGATGATGCACGGGAGGGCTACTTTCCACAAGCTATGCTTCAGCCCTCCCGCTTCTACTAATTTTGTTCATCTTTGTGTGTATGAATTACACTTTTTTTGTTTTTTGGATGAATAAAAAAATATATATACTTTCAGCTTGGGGGCCCCCTAGTGGCCGCGGGGGCCCTATGCCCCCGCATAGTCCGCATATAGGAAGAAACGGCCCTGTAAAATACACCTGAACATCAGCAGGAGAGGACTCTTTAAAGTAGAGACACTACATACTGATATACACCTGAACATCAGCAGGAGAGGACTCTTTAAAGTAGAGACACTACATACTGATATACACCTGAACATCAGCAGGAGAGGACTCTTTAAAGTAGAGACACTACATACTGATATACACCTGAACATCAGCAGGAGAGGACTCTTTAAAGTAGAGACACTACATACTGATATACACCTGGACATCAGCAGGAGAGGACTCTTTAAAGTAGAGGACACTACATACTGATATACACCTGAACATCAGCAGGAGAGGACTCTTTAAAGTAGAGACACTACATACTGATATACACCTGAACATCAGCAGGAGAGGACTCTTTAAAGTAGAGACACTACATACTGATATACAACTGAACATCAGCAGGAGAGGACTCTTTAAAGTAGAGACACTACATACTAATTTGAACCTGAACATTTGCATAATATGTCCTCTTTAAATTAAAAGCAAAAATAACTACTTAAATAATTGAATTAGTTTTTTATTCAAAGTATTTGCTGCTACTTGGAACAATATAGTTCATGTACGTTTACAACTGTATTTATTTACAATGGATCCAATAAAAGGATTTGCTCATTTGTTTCATATTATAAAATGATGTGTGTCAGGGCTAGTTCTCATACTGATAATCATGAATACTATATTCTAATCTCACTTTAGGATGTTGAACTTGCAACGTGGATGGCAACAGACCGTCAACCAAGGTGCAGGTTCTGAAAAACAGATTACAAGAGTAATCCCAAGGACAAAATACTGTGTGTGTGTGTCATTTGAATTACTTGCGTACCTGCGTACATTAAGAGTGAAGGGACGAGACAATCCTTGGTTTTCTGCTGAACTGTCTAGTCTCCTTCATGAGAGAAACAAGGCCTGGGCAAAGGCTAGGAGATCAGGCTCAGAGGTAGAATGGCTACGTTTTAGGCAGCTAAGAAATAGCTTCACATCGCAAATCAAAAGTGCTAAGTCTAAGTATTATCTGTCAGTAACCACAAAGAATCTGAATAATCCTGGAAAATGTTTGGAAAGCCATTGAATCGTTATTCACCGGCGATATCCGTAATGAGCTACCTCCGTGCATTACCACAGCATCTGGTTCTATATCGGACAGGCTCACTATGCTAAATTGCTTTAAGGAGCATTTTGTGTCCTGTGGCTCTCTGTTTGATTCTGTCACTAACTCTGCTTCTGTGAACACCACAGTCTGTGACTCTGAAAAACGTGTTTTGGAAAACCCTTTTAGTTTTACTCCTTTTACTGTTAATGTTGTTCGTGAAGCTTTAACCAAGTTAGATCCTAAGAAACCGGCTGGCCCGGACAACGTAGAACCTTTCTTTTTAAAGATAGCTGCAGATTTTATTGCTCTTCCTCTCACTACTCTTTTTAATCTCTCCCTCAGCTCAAATGCAATTCCAAAATTGTGGAAGTCAGCGTATGTCCTGCCTTTGCTAAAAGGAGGGGAGGCCACTTTATTAAATAATTATAGGCCCATCTCTAAATTATCAGTTCTGGCTAAGGTTCTTGAACGCTTAGTGAGTGAACAAGTAAAGGTGTTTTTATGTACAAATGATATCCTGTCTAAACATCAGTCAGGCTTCAGAAAGCAACATAGCACCATCACTGCCACAATGAAAAGTGGTGAATGATGTGGCGAGTATTTTAGATAATAAGCAGAGTTGTGCAGCTCTATTTATTGACCTTTCCAATGCATTTGATACCGTCGATCATCGCATCTTAAAGCAGAGGCTACTCAGTATTGGCATATCCAGCCATGCATTGGGTGGTTTGTGAACTCTCTGAAAGGTCCCAATGTGTTCACTTTGATGGGCTGTCTTCTGAGTGGTTAAACATC